TGAATACTTCTTGATTCATTTTATAAACCTAGTTTTACCCTAATAATAAAACTCTACAGACAGTACAAAAAATAAAACTATAGATTAGTATCACTCATGAATATGGATGCAAACATCCTTAACAAATATTAGCAAATAGAATTCAGCAATCTATAAAAAGAATTAAGTACAATAATCAAGCAGGGTTTCTTTCAGAAATTTAAGGCTGTGTCAATATTTATTTATTTACTTATTTGAGATAGGGTTTTGCACTGTCACCCAGGCTGAGTGCAGTGCTATACTCCCAGCTCACTGTAGCCTCCACCTCTCTCTGTACAAAAAATAAAAACATTTAGCTAGGCATGGTGGTGTGTGACTATAATCCCAGCTACTGAGGAGGCTGAGGTGGGAGGATCATTTGAACATGGGGGTTGGAGGCTGCAGTGAGCCATAATCATGCCACTGTACTCAGCCTCAGTGACAGAGTGAAACCCTGTCTCAAAAAGAAAAAGAAAAGAAAAGGAAACAAAAATTGTACAGACCAGAAAGGAAGAAATGAAACTGTTGCAACTTGTGGATGACATGATTGATTTATGTAGAAAATCCCAAGGAATGGACAAAAAATCCTTAAGCTAATGATTGAGCTAAGCAAGGTCACAGGATATAAGACACATGTACAAAATCATCTGTACTTCTATGTACTAGAAATGAACACATGGATATTAAAATAGAAAATGCAGTACCATTTATAATTGCTAAAAAGGTTAAATATTTAGGTGCAAATCTTATGAAACATGTATAGGACTAATATACTGGAAACTACTTGACACTTTAATTGACAATCTGAATAAATGAAGAGACATATTGTGTTCATGGACTGGAAGATTTGACAGTAAAGATATCTGTTCTGTACAAACTGATCTATACATTTAATATAATTCCTGTCAAAATCCTAGCAATATATTTTTGCAGTTATAGACAACATCATTCTAAAATTAAAATGAAAAGGTACATGAACCAGAATAACCAAAATTATTTCAAAAAAATAAATATAGTTGATCTTTACTATCTGTGGGGGATTGGTTCCAGGACTTCCTGTGGATAGCAAAAATCTTCAGATGCTCAAGTCCGTTATATAAAATGGCATAGTATTTGTATATAATCCGTGCACCTCCTCCCATATACTTTGAAATCATCTCTAGATTACTTATAATACCTAATATCATGTAAATGCTATGTCAATAGCTGTTTACTGTATTGTTTAGGGAATACTGACAAGAAAAAATGTCTGGTCTGCATGTGTTTAGTATAGGCACAATTTTGCAGTTGAATATTTTTGATCCCAAGTTGGCTGAATTCGTATATAGGAACCCACAGATATGGAGAGTTGACTGTATAATGGGAGGAATCAGGATATCTAATTTCAATATAGCTACAATAATCAAAATTGTGTTGTTGCTAGAGGGATAGAGACATAAAAAAATGGAACAGAATAGAGAATCCAAATGTAGACTCACTCAAATATAGTCAACTGACTTTTTACAAAGGTACAAAAACAATTCAATGGAGGAAAGTTAGCCTTTTCAACTAACAGTGGTAGGGCAATTAGTCAGCCACATGCAAAAAATAAAATAAAATAAAATAAGCTACAACTGTTTCATGGTTTATTAAAAAATTACCTCAAAATGAATCGTAAACTTAAATGTAAAATGTAAAACTAAAATTTTTATTTGAAAAATATAGGAGCAAATCTTTGAGATCTAAGGCTAGGAAGGAGTTATTAGACTTGACACAAAAAGTATGATCCATAAAAGGATATTTGATAAATTGGATTTCATTAAATTAAAAACTTGTTTTGTGCAAATGCAAATTTTGATTCAGGGGGTCTATGGTTGAACCTAAGATTCTGCACTTACTAAAAGTTTTCAAATGATGCTGAAGCTGCTGGTGTAGGAACCACCCTCTGAATAGCAAAAAACAGACACTCTGGCTTCTTATAGTCCTCAAATTATAGGGACAAATAATTTAATGGATAAATAAATTTTGTTATTTTATAGGGTTCACAATTTGGAGAAGTAGAGGAGATAATTTCACTTGAAGGAATAATAGAAACACCTCAAAACCCAACTTTATAGCTGCATAAAATAAGAAACAAAATCTTATCTTTTCAAATGTCTTTAATTATCTAATATTCTAATTTTTTTTTTTCTAAAAAGAGACAATAAAAGGTTTCTTAATTCAAAGGTATAACTGGATAAGTAGATTTGTTTACAACCATTCTTGTGAAATACTTTTTTTTAAAAAATACGACCAACTTCTTTGAAAATAGCAGACACATACCTCAACTATTACGGGCTAATTTTTGGTGGATAATGTACATAACTAGGCAGAAATAGGCAAGCTGACATTGGTAGATTAACTATCAAATACTCTATCAAAACTCCATTTGTGGCCCTCACTTGTTGATCGATTTCTATTCCCACTTCGTCTTCTACCATCTTTTCAACCTCCTGAGTGACTCCCTTGTGGACTCTGTCTACCTGACCAGCCACCAGATCGACCACCTGACCCGCCTGACCTGCCCGACCAGCCACTTGACCAGTCACTCCTCTGTCTGGGATTAGAGTTCTTTCCATCATAATATTCTTCAGTTTCAGGTAATTTGCCTGGCACTGAGAGTATCCAGTTGGAATCATGCGACTCTGCCTGTAACCTTTCTGACTCAGTTGTAGAAACACCAAAGCAAACACCTATATTTCCTTTCAGGTGACACATGCTGGTAATCCGAGACACTGCATTCTTTCCAGGCACAGGTGACATCCTGTATTTCCTCTAGGCTTTCCAGAGTCATGGTCTTCAAGGGCGATCAAAGATCGTGGTTCAAAGCTTGATGCACCAGAAATGTGGGCTAAAGTTGTAGCCAATGCATCCACTGACCCTCGCTCTGTCGCCCAGGCTGGAGTGCAGTGGCCCGATCTCGGCTCAGTGCAAGCTGCGCCTCCCGGGTTCACGCCATTCTCCTGCCTCAGCCTCCCGAGTACAGGACTACAGGCGCCCGCCACCACGCCTGGCTATTTTTTTGTATTTTTGGTAGAGACGGGGTTTCACCGTGTTAGCCTGACCTCGTGATCTCCTCACCTCGTGATCCGCCCACCTTGGCCTCCCAAAGTGCTGGGATTACAGGCGTGAACCACCGCACCCGGCGCCCCTTTCTCTTCTATCGGTCCCTGAGCTGATGGTCAGAAAAAATCAACAGCAGCATAAGAAACGGAAGTCAGAAACCTGATGATATCCATGCTTTTAGATTTAACCAAATCCATTGTAGAAGGAACACCTACACGTTTAAAAGTAATTGCTGCTTTTTGTTCCACATATCTTAGTTGACCTCTTTCTCTTGGTTGATGAAAACATATACAAATCCCTGTCCAGCTCTACCTGTGCATCCAGAGCGATGGATATAGGACTCAACTTCCTGAGGAGGAGAATGTTGAATCACCAGGTCTACTTCAGGAATGTGCAAACTATGGGCAGCCACATTGGTTGCCACCAAAACTTTAAAACTATCTTCTCTGAAGTCTTTTAGTGTAATTTCTCTTTGTGACTGTGCAATGTCCCCATGTAAACACTGGGCATTCTGTTTTATATGTGGATTCATGGCCATTTCAGTTACATTCTTCTTGTTCTCACAGAAAATAATAGCCCTCCCTTCAGACCCACTGTAGACTTGAAGGACATCTCCAGTAACTGCTGGCCTCTGAGACCAATGACACTGAATGACCAAGTGTTCCACAGTAGTTGCAGCCTTTTGAGTCATTTTTCCAACAAGGTCAACCTGTTCATATCTGGATTTCATGTAATTTTTTTTGCAACTTTGTATACCCACTGTGGGCAAGTTGCAGAAAAAAGTAAAGTCTGAGGATTGTCTTCAGAATCAGTTTTGTAGGATTCGTGAATCACATATTCAACTTGCTCATCAAAACCTAAATCTAACATTTGATCCACTTCATCAAGCACAACATGGTGCAGTTTAGAAAGATCCAATCAGCCACTCTGCAGACGGTCTTCATATGACCAGGGGTTCCAACCAAGATGTCAATACCATTTTGCATATGATTAATTGGGCTTTGATATGGTGTTCCACCATAAAAACATGCCATGCTGAATTTCCTAGTTTTATCTTTGAAGTCTTTGGCTACTTGGTTTGCCAGTTCCCTAGTTGGAGCCAAAACAAGTACCTTTCTTTGGTGAGCAGCTTTTTAAAAATTGTTTCTTAATTTCTTTGGAGTCTTTCAATCAAAGGGATGGCAAAAAAAAAAAAGTCTTTCCTGTTCCTGTCCATGCTCGAGCTATTAAATCTTTTCCTTCATATACAGGACAAGGTCTTAACTTGAATAGGAAAGCGATATGTTACCCCTCAACCTTTCAGAAACTTTATAGTCTCTTCAGAAATACAGAAATAAGAGAAGGCTCCTTCTTCCTATTCACGTGTTAAGGTCTCCTCTAGTTTATTATCACTTGATTTATGAGTAGAACTATCTAAGGATGATATTCGCTTTGATTTTTTTTCATATTCATCAATATTTCCATTTGGTAGATCTTTTCTTCTTATGAGATTTAGAGAATTCATCTGAAAGTCTATAAAATCCTTCTTCAGTGTCTCCATTTAGCTTTTCTTTCATTTTAGTTTTTTTTTTTTTTTTTTTCTTTTTTGGCCTTGGGAACATCCAGGTCATCTGTAACACCATTTTCTCTTGTTTTTGATTTCTCATCTGAGTCATAATGGTGCCTTGACTTCCTTCTGTCACTCCAGCACTGTGTAATGTGTTTTCAGTTTATCTTGTTTAAATCTTCATAACAACCCTAAGGGAAGTACGGGTCTATAATCCCTTATCCGAAATTGTGATATCCATAGAGCTCTTATTGATAAGGTCAGAGGGGTAGATTCCGCTTCCTAAGGCTATACAAAATAAGCCTCATTCTTTTGTTGAATGTCAGCCTTCAAATACTACTACCTTAGCCGCTTCAGCTGATTTCTTTTTTCCAGGTCAAATGTCTCCAGTAAAAATTTTATCTGTGCATTTGCCAGCATCTTGTGATCCTCTGAGTGTTTCAGGAATTTTTCCCTTTGCCCCCCTTTTTATTTTTGGAGGGCAGGGGGGTGGGAGGAGGAAAGATGCCACAACTCCTCTACAGGCTCCTTGAGGTCAGGGACCATTTCTTACTTAGTTTAAGCTCCTTGATGCTCAGCAAAGAGTATGGTACAAATTAAGGTCAATAAATGCCTTTTGCCTCTCCTTCTTCTGGCTCTCAGACTCCTCCAAGGGTATTTCCAGCTCCATAATGTCCCCCCAAGGAGTTTCCCAGGCATTACTGGCCACCACTGCCTCCCTCTGGGCACAGGGGCCACAACCACCTGCAGTCAGCAACAGCGTGGAAGGAAGCTGGGCCTAATGCTTTATTCAAATGGTACCGATATTGAAAATGATGAACTATTCTGATGAAAAATGATCAAGTTTCTGCATGAAACCTCATTTTACATTGATTTTATGGCCAAAACATAAGCTTCTGAAATGAATATATCATAATACTTAAGTTACTTTATTTATTTACTATTTATTTATTTATTTTGAGATGGAGTCTTACTCTGTCACCCAGGCTCGAGGGCAGTGGCGCGATCTTGGCTCACTGCAATCTCTGCCTCCTGGGTTCAGGCGGTTCTCCTGCCTCAGCCTCCTGTGTAGCTGGGATTACAGGTGTGTGCCACCAGGCCAAGCTAATTTTTGTGTTTTTAGTAGAGATGGGGTTTCAGCACACTGGTCAGGCTGATCTCACTACTGACCTTGTGATCTGCCTGCCTTGGGCTCCCAAAGTGCTGGAATTACAGGTGTGAGACACCATGCCTCTCCACTTTATTTCTTATTATGGGAATTTGTATTCTCGTATTTTGAATTCATACTTTTTAGCCCTGTGTGAATCCGTGTGTACAATCATCACAGGCTACAAAAAATCCTTAGGGAATTTTGGAGTTAAGTGTGTTGTTGCTCTTTAAATTATTAGACAGGGTTCTCCATTCTCAGTTCTAATAGAAATGAAATCTCTAGTTTTATCTCCTAAAATGGCATTTCAAATCAGATATGATGTGTATCCAAATTTATTTCCATATTTTATCCATTATTTCTGTTTTTCTAACAAAATAAAAGAGGATAAACTAGCTTGAAAGTAAGCATACACTGATTCCAGTTTACAAGAAAATAAAATTTCATCAAGAATAAATGAATCCTAAGAAATGAAATAATTTTTTATATCTTAATGATAAGCACTCATTTGACTGGATGTTAGAAATACCGCACAAAAATATTTGCAAGAAAAAAATTTCTCATACGTAATTAACCAGAATTAGGTCAGAAATGATATATTTTCCTTTGTAAGACCGTTTAAAAGGATAAATACAATGTTTTTGTAAGATTGCTATACTCCAGAAAAGGTGTTAAAGTTTACATTGATGATATTCATATAAGTGGGGAAGGCAAGAATACTTTTATCAAACATCATATTGTGGTACAAAGAGCATCAAACTAAAAAGCAAATTTACAGAGGCAAATACACTAGGCAGTGTCCTAGGGCAGAGGAAGCTAGTGACAGGGAATAAGAGCAAATGGGCACTTGGGACCTTACTGGTGTGATGAAAAGGTTTTAAAACTGATTTATGGTGATGTTTGTACAAGTTGGTAAACTTACTAGAAATCATTGACTTATTCCCTTGAAGTGGATGACTTATGGGCTGTGTTAGTCCATTTTCAGACTGCTATGAAGACATACTTGAGACTGGGTAATTTATAAAGAAAAGAGATTTAATTGACTCACAGTTCTGCACGGCATAGGATGCCTCAGGAAACTTACAATCATGACAGAAGGTGAAACAGGCAACATCTTACATGGCAACAGGCAAGAGAAATGAGTGAGAGCAAGGGAAATGCCAGATGCTTATAAAATTATTAGATCTTGTGGGAACTCACTCATTATCATAAGAACAACATGGGGGAATCCACCCCCATGATTCAATTACCTCCACCTGGTCCCTCCCTTCACACATGGGGATTATAATTCAAGGTGAGATTTGGGTGGGGACACATAATCAAACTATATCAAAGGCTATGTAACATATTCCTCAATGAAGTATTCTTAAGAAAAGAGCATTTTGGCCAAGCAAGGTACCTCATGTCTCCAATCCCAGCACTTTGGGAGGTTGAGGCAGGCAGATCACTTAAGGCCAGGAGTTCGAAACCAGCCTGGCCAATATGGAGAAACCTCATCTCTACAAAAATTACAAAAAAATTAGCTGGGTATGGTGGTATATGCTTCTAATCCCAGCAATTTGGGAGGCTGAGGCACGAGAATAGTTTGAACCCTGGAGGCTGAGGTTGCAGTGAGCACCACTGCACTCCAGCCTGGGTGACAGAGCAAGACTTTGTCTCAAAAAAAAAAAAAAAAAAAAGCATTTTACTGACATTCAGGAGACCATGAAAGACAGCACTTGTTCTGCCACTAAATAGCTGTATGACCCTGTATAAACAAGGAGTGTATTCATTAAAGATCTTTGTTTCATTATCTATAAAGAATTGGGCTAAATAAACCCCAGTGTATCTCTTATCTCTTCCTATTCCAAAATTCTGTGACTATTTTGGCAAAGTAACCTCAATGAAAGCACTTTTTTCCTTGAAAAATATCTAAGTATAAAATCTCTTCTGAAAAAAATTAAAATCACAAAACCTTCTTTAAAAACTTCCCCAAAGAAATTGTGGATCCAAGACACTTCAAAAGAAACTTTATTTATCAATAAAGCATTGTTGTTGAGGGAATATTTGTATCCTTTCAAAACATATGAAATCTAAGCCACTACACAGCCTGTAATGAAAATGTCTGAGGTGGGAAGATATAACAAGAAAGAAAAGAAAGTAGATTATAAACCAATGTTTATGTGTTTCATAGACCTTTATGAACTAGAACGAAACCTATAAGGATGATTTAATGAAGCGCATATACTTCTAATTTATATCCTCTTTCAATAGGAAACAGTTATTAAGCTTGAATACAGGTAAGAGACCACGTAATATCCTGTAGATATGGGTATATACAGATATGTACATGTCTTATATATTTGCGTGTGCATGTTTGTATATATAATGCAATGTTAACTCTTTTCTGGTGATAGAAAGAATACATTACTGCTTCATTTTGCTATTGAAATATATCTAAAGAACATGGACCAAGAAGTGCCTTAGATTATAGAAAATTAAGGATGACTTCTACATGACGATAATGTTAGTAATTTTAACTCTTGTGAAAGAAATCATTTAACTCCATAGAGCCTACATGGATAGCATTATTCAAATCAATGGAATTTTCTTCTCAGTTTTTTTTCATGCAAAATAAGGGACATTCTTTAGAAAATTCTGTGATACCTCTTATCTAGAAAATAATTTGATAAGTTTAATATTTATGCCTTAAAAACATAACTCTGGCATATTATACTCTGGTAGTTTGTATTCTTGTCAGTGAAGCTAAGCTGGGAATTAATTACATTTTCCCTAAGTCTCTTTCTTGTATCTCTCCAGATTGAAGTCGTCCAGGAAAGGAAGTTACATGCTATTTAGAAAGTGTAAAAAGCAATGGCCATAACCATTTGAAAATCTTCTCATAGGCAGAATCAGAGACAGACAGAAGAAGGGTACCAGACAGGGGCCAGCTTGTCATCACGCCTTTCTGCTCCACATCTAGCTTTTCTTGACTACTGTTATTGTTGACCAACAGAGCCTCTGATCCATCCCAGATGCTTGGCTATGGGCACACAGAGGTCGTGGTTATTCAGAGGCAACAGCTTTTCATAGACCTCTCCACAGATTTCCCCTTTGTGGTCCTACTTTGTTGGCTAGACATCCTCGGTTTCTCAAGGGGACTGAGTGGTAACTCTGTCTCTGATCCTCAAACTTCTCTTCAAGTCCTCTTCTTCTCCAGCTGTCTCCACAATTCTAAATGAAATATCTTATCCCACAACACCCATAGTGTTTTTGCTCCTTGGACTAAACCTTAATAGATACAAATTCCTAACCAACGGAAGAGAAAACCTAACTAAAATAGTGAAGAAAAATATGAAGATTTTAATTAATTCAAAAACCCAGAAATATTTATGGATGAAAGTGGTGGAAGGTAGTCCAATCACAGAATCTCTCTTATCCAGTAAAATGAAGAAAGATAACAGTCATAGATTCACTAGCAGCAACCAAATAAGGAAAGGGTCCAGTCTCATGCAAAAACTTCTAAGAGTGGTGGCCACCAAACAGAAACAAAACATTCATCCACTTCTGTAAGCAGTTGCCCAGAAAGAAGATGAGTTGAAAAAAACCTGAGAATTCTGGCTATGAATGGATTCCATTTTGCCAAGAAATGGTTTAAAGTAATGATTCTCAAAATGAAGTCTGCAAGCAGTTTCAGGGGATCTGTGGTCAAAACCCATCTTACAAACAGTTTCAGGGGGTCTGTATGGCCAAAACTATTTTAATGACTATATTAAGGTTTTATTTGTCATTTTCACCATCCATGTTAACATTTTTTCTAAAGGTACTAAAGCAATGGTGGATAAAACTGCTGGCAGTTTAACAAGAATCAAGGCAGTGGCACCACATTTTCTTGGTAGCCACTGTATATCTAATCACCGCACACATAGCGTAAAAAATAAACCAACAATTTCACTTAAGAATGTCCTTGATGAAGGTGTGTATTATGGTTATCCCCATTTTACAGATGAGAAAATTGAGATGTACAGATGTTAAGTATCTTTTTCAAGGTCAAACAGCCAATAAGTGGTAGAACTGGAATTCCAATCTGGGCAGTATGGCACTAGAAAAAAAAATAGACAGACAATTCGATTTATTCATTCACTGTATTTTTATTGAGTACTTAATATGAGGCAGATTCTACTCCAGGGACTGGAGATACAAAATAATTATCCATCTGTCCACCCAAACATCCATTCATTATTCTCTCTGCGTATGTGCATAGAGACCTATGGTAATTTCTGGATAGTATAATTTTAGGTTAGAAGCCTCTCTCTTCTTGGTAGTTTTTTGTACTGCTTGAATTTTACAAATAATGAGCAAATGCTATTTTTATTAAAAACAATAAAGTAATTATTCTTAAGACAAAACTGAACACAACTAATTTCTCTTTTGAAGAAAATACAAAGTAAAATTTCAAGTCTTAAACTTAAAGGAGTATGAAAAGACTGCTCTGTTCTTTCTTCCACTTTTAAGTATTCTTTCTCCCCACTACTTACATAGCAACAGAATATAGTATGTGGAAAATTCTTTT